TCCGTAAGCCAGGAGATTGATCTCTAAGCAAGAGAGGGCCAAGCGCAGCAGGGAAGAGGGGAATGGAATTAAGGCTCTGTGGAGGATGGGGAAGGGAGGAAGGTCCCCCTCGTAGGCTGCTCCCCACCTCCGCTCCCAGGAGATGGAGTAGACATCTGAGTAAGAGCAGGGAGAACAGAGATGGGTGACCTGAGTAAAGACAGCAAACCCAATAACAAATATGTGGTAATCACAGAAGCTGGTTAGGAGCATCAGGATGGGAAGGAAATTACGTTGACAGTTTGCATTTTTTTGCACACCTGCCCAGTTGGTCCATAAACCACCTCTACGTGGGCAGACCTGCCAGGCTCTGCTCCCGAAGCAGAAACTAAATCCCTTTTGCTCCAGGCAGTCATGATAACAGCACGTACGCCACAACAGCACCAGCCTAGCACAAGGCCACTTGGCAACAGGTTTTACCGGTGGCATCTGGATGAATCGGGTGTCAACACGCTAAGCTTCAGTACCAGTGTGCTGCAGAGAAACTGGGGAACGGATAAGGACTTCTGAACCTAATCACTTGAAAAGCAAATCTGGCTCCCTTTAGCATCAGTGGCAAAACTCACAAGGATTTTGAGTAGACCAAAGATGTCGCTTAGCAGGTTTGCATAATCCCTTTGCAGCAGCTGGAGCACGTTCCTGCTGGTGACCTGTGGCTCCACGTGTCCTTCTCTACAGTTAGTCATTCCCTCTTCAAAGGCGATGGCGGAACACATGCAGTTCAGAAAAAAAGGGACAACCAGGGTTAGGAACACAGAAAACTTCTCATATGAAGAAACTGTTCCACGGAGTCACAGATACAAGCGTGCAGGAGGTGAAAAACAGCAGCACCAGCATCAGCACCCAGCCTTTTATTGACAACAAACACAGACCTTCAACCTCCGAGCTACAGAACTCTTGGTTGCAGGTAAACAGCAAGCTAATAGAAGACCCAAAACCAAAATTCAAGTCGGGGAGGGAAAAAAAAAAACAAAACAAAAGGAACTAGAGTGATAGTTTTGTTATTGAATTTTGCTATTGAATCTTAATTATATTTGCACTGAAAAATCTGTTTATAATTCAGATACACACTGTAATTGTCTTCACAACCCAAACAACAAGAACCCTGATAAATCTTCAGTCTACTTCAAAATGAAGATAAAGGTCCCATCTACAGGACAATGCAGAGCAAAACTACGAATAAAAAATCTGTCAAGTACCTGCTTCTGAGGTGGATAATTCTTCCTTTGCATGTTTTGCCAGCATCTTAAGTTAAAGCATCTTTCACATCTGAAAAAAAAAAGGGTAGTACTTAGTGATTTTGCTATACTGATTTAAAAGTGTATGCATATATATTTTATAGATATATATGTGTATAAAATATGTATTTTTAAACAAGAACCTATCAAACCTCAAAAAAAAATCCCTGACCACTAATAAAATTATTGCTTTTAATTTATTGCTTCTCTGATAATCTTGGTAATAAGTAGTAACCAGTAATACTGGCTTGTGCAGCAATTCTCATGTTACTGGACTGCTGTATGGCACCACACCCCCAAATAACTCAGAATAGCTCCCCTGTCTAGTCACAACCACAGGGGGTTGATACGACTGCCCTTTATTAGTACCATCGCATGAATACAGTCTAATATCAAAACATCTTGGACATACACTTTAATACAACAGAAGGCTGATTCCAAGCATAGCAGCCACACCTCTGGGGCAGAGCACAGCAACAAAGATGACAAAACTGGTGGTTGTGGCATATCCACACTCTTTAAAAACAGCAGAAGTGTTTGTTCTGTTCTGCGTGTGGAATTCTTTGTATCTTACTCCGATTTAAAAAAAAAAAAAACACACACCAGAGTGAATCGTTTTCAAAACCAGTTGATAAGCTCCACTTAAGTACAGATTGGATTTTATGAACTTGGTAAAGAAATGAGGAAAAGATTTTTCTTTGTTAAGAAAACTGATGGTGACATTCGTCTTTCTATTAACATCAGTGGCATTTAGCAGGGATTGTATCCTTGGAAAGATTTTTTTTAAAGTGTATCTGTCATTTTCCTGCATTTTATAGAATGGTTTTATATAGCTGTTTTGCATTTGGCTTTAAGTTTTAATGTTTTCTGTTCATTAAATCACAAAATAATAAAAACTAAATGATCAAGATTTCTAAAGCACTACCAGGAACAGTTCTAATGTACAGTGTTATAATTTAATAAGCATCGCAACTGACTATTAAAATCCACATTATAATCAGAACTGTAATTCCAAATATGAGGCCTTCTGAAAGCTTAATTTACTGTGGTGGGAAGTGGCAGCTGTTGCAGCTCAGCAAAATTAGTTTTTTAGCTTACATGTCAGGGAAAACAGATGCAGATGAGACAATAACAAGCACAGCAACAGAAATCCACTGCCAACATGCAGGTTCTTTTCTCATCACCACGAGATGTAAGAAAGGTTTCTGTGATTATGTCTGCAGAAGAAGGGAGACAAAGGAAAACGTGGACCCAAGAGAGGACCACGCAGGGGGGACTAGGGCTGGAAAAGGTAAGGGGACTTGTTGCTCTCTCTGCTTTGGTGAGTTTGCAGGGCTCCCACATTCACAATCCTGGCAGTGGAGTCTGGGGCCTAACCCCCTCAGTAGGGAAGACTGAGTTGGAGGTCACTGGACATTCCCAAATCCATGGAACCAAACAAGAGGCATCTGTAGGAGAGAATATCATCACAAAACTGCACTCTGTCCTGGCGTCGGTTCGTATTGACTGAAAAAAGGCAGATGTCACACGCTCATCTTCACAAAGTTCTAAGGAACCATAAGATAATCGGTCACACCTCAATCTCTAGAAAGGTTTTAGAATAAATCCTCCTGAATTTGACATGTCCAGATACATGAAGGACAAGACAATTAGTGAGAGTCTGCACAGATTTACCAAACTGTGTCCCACCAGTGGCCTTGTCGTCTATGACGGAGCTCTGTGGGCCAGGGGAAAGCAACGGAGATGTATTTACATTTTTCTAGGGAAGGTTTTTGACCTTAGTATCCTTGTAGCCAGGTTTATGAGATGGGTTGGGACAGGCAGGCTAGAGCGTGGGTGGCTAACTGGCTGAACTGCAGGGTTCAAAGAGCTGTGACCAGCAGTACTAAAGTCCATCTGGATATCAGTGATCCCTCCCTCTCAGGAGTCAGAAGTGGGGATGATTTTGTTTGGTTTCTTTATTAATGACCCGGACAACTGGACAGAGTGAACTCTCAGAAAATTGGCAGAGGACCAAAGAGCACTCAGTGCTGCTGGAAGGCAGAGCTGCCAGTCAGAAGAACCTCAACAGGGTGAAAATGCAGGTTGGCAGGAGTCCTTTTCATGCTCAGCAAAGACAAACGCAGAGAGCTGCACCTGGCATGAACTGATCCCATGCAGCAGGACAGGCTTGGTTCTCATGGCTTTGCAGGAAAGGACCCAACGGCTGATGAAGTGAACATGGGCCAGCAATGTGCACTGCAGCAAAGCAGGCTCCTGGGCTGCATGCAGGAGAGGAGACTCAGCAGGCCAAGGGACGTTACTCTATCTAGCACCTACAAGGCCATGTCTGGATAATATGTCCAGTTCAGGACTCCCCAGAACATTAGGAATGTTGACATATTAAAGAGAGCCCAACGGAGGGCCACCAAGATGAGCAGGCGGAAGCACACGATGCTGGGGGAGAGGCTGAGAAGGCTCCAGAGGGATCTTACAGCTATCTGCAACTACCTAATGACTACTTAAAATAGAGGAGGAAGAGCCAAACATTTTTGGAGGTTTACAGCAAA